TGCTTCAGCCTAATATTTCAGTTGTTGTTCCTTGTTGTTGCAATAATATGTTAATGGTGTTTCAACTGCTTCATCCTAATATTACAGCTGTTGTTCCTTGTTGTTGCAATATATATGTTCATGGTGTTTCGGCTACTTCAGTCTAATGTTGCAATATGTGTTTCCATGTGTGTTGCACGTGTTTTTATTCCAGCTTTCTATGTTGTTCGGCTAGGGAGGGGCGAGCCGGGACGGACGGGGGCACGTGGTTCGTCGGGGCCTAGCAGGCGGAGGTGCTGGAGCCGGCGGACGTGGGGTGATGTGGCCATGGGGGGCACTAGGCATGCAGCATGCTTGTCGCGGGCGTGGGGCGGACGCGCTGGGCTGCGGGGCGATCTAGGGGCATACGGACTCGTGCGACACAGAGGCTAGCGGGGCTCTTTGTAGGCATCGCGGTCGCGTGTTCGTCGGTGTTAGCGGGGCTCTTCGTTCGACGAAGACGCAGCAACGGTAGTTCGTGCGGGCGCGCGATCTCAGGGCAGCGGCGTCGGTCCAGCGGACCCGCTCCTTGCGCGCGTCGCCGAGGGGCGTGCGGTGCGGAACTGAGAAGGAAGAGCGCGCGCTGGGGGAGGGCGTCCACGGAACCGTCCGATGGATCCGTATTCATCGGACGTCCGGGGCACCAGCGCTCCCATTTTATATGCACGCGCAATCGCTCAAAAGCTTTTATGCGCGCAAATGTATACTCACATAAAAGCTTAGGCACATATTTATTTTGTATTTTTTCTGAGGAGTATGCAACAAAAACTCCTGAGAAAAATATTACTGACACAGAACTTAGGCACATATTTCTTTCGAACAAAGTGTAGACACATATGCTCACATATAAGGCCATGTTCGGCTTACCCATATTCGGCTTGTTCAGCTTGTTTTTTTAACCGGAACAGTATTTTTCTCTTACAACAATTCAACCAGAACAGTATTTTTCAGCTAGTTTCAGCCAAGATTCAGACCAGCGAACGGGGCTACACTTCTCTCCCTATGAATGCAAGCACATATCCTACTTGTGTAAAAAAGCAGTATGCACATGATTTGTGAACATAAAGTATGCGATTAAAAATTTGTTCACATATATTTTTGAAACAAAAAAATTATGTACATAACATAACATAAAATACGGTGTCATTGTCGGCGAACTTGCCGTGACCCATCAGCTCCAGCTTCCACAATCAACGATAACAACTGCCCCGAAATATAACACACACAACTCATGAGTAGATTTGCGGAGAAGGATCCATCCAACTTAGCTAAAATTTTAAAGGCTAAACTTTAGCTAGCTAAAACTAAAAATGGTCCTACCTAAACTTTAGCTGGATTGTTTGATCCTCCAGCTAATATACTCAGCTAAACTTTAGCTAAGTTTAGCTAGATAAAACAGTTAAACAGTTAAACTTTAGCGGCTTTTTTAGTTGAACCGTTTAAATTCCTAACAGCTAAATTTAATCGGTTAAAATTTAATTGGTGAATCCAAACAGACCTAATTGCCAAGCCCATCTAATGACGGGACCCAACAGCTCTACTGCAGCTCCAAAGCAGGCTAGGCTAGCTGGCACGAGAATACAACACCAAACAAGGCCATGTTTAGTACTTTAAATTTTTGAATTTGTCACTATGTAAAAAGAAGATTCTTCATCTTATCAAACTTACGGTACATGCATAGAGTACTAAATGTTGACGAAATCAAAAACTAATTACACAGTTTGGTTGTACTTTGCGAGACAAACATTTTAAGCCTAATTAATCAACGATTAGACAATTATTATCAAATACAAACGAAATGATACCGTGCCCTGAAATTCCGGCGAATCCGGCCGGAACTAAACGCTGCCCAACTGCGCCGAATCCAGCCGGAACTAAACGCTGCCCAACTTGTGCGAGTCCCGCCGAACTCCCGGTGTGTGATGCAAAAGCTGACACTTGCAGAGACTGACATGAGCAAGAGCCAGCTATTTGGCTATCAAGCGGTAAAAGCTAAACTATACAATAGTGTCTATTGTTTATCTTAAAAAAATATTATTAATTTGATCGATTTCCCACCATCTCTTTCTAGATTCTCCCCACATTAAAAAAACTTTTCTGCGAGCAAAACATATATACAAAAAAAAATATGCAAAAATCATTTATTTTCTATTTATGCACGCAAAATCACTCAAAAGCTTTTATATGAGCAAAACGTATATGCAAAAGAACTCCAGAGAAAATATGGGCGCATCGCTACATATTTGCCCAAGCAGTAGTTTCAAACCCCAGCGAGTAATAAACTCTGAAACTAGCCTAGGCAGCCCTCCTCCTCCTCTGTACTAGGCTGCGATTCTCGCGCATGAAAACTTGGGTGGTGTTTAGTTATCAAAATTTTGCAAAAATTTTCAAGATTTTCCGTCACATCGAATTTTGGATATATGCATGAAGCATTAAATATAAATAAAAAAGAAAACTAATTACACAGTTTAGACGAAATTCACGAGACGAATCTTTTAAGCCTAATTAGACTATGATTGGACACTAATTGCCAAATAACAACGAAAGTGCTACAATAACATTTCCTAAAAAAATCGCCAACTAAACAAGACCTCATGTTGTAATTCTGCTTCCTTCTTATTAATATATATGCCGGGCAACCGGATCTTTATTTATAAAAAAAAGCATATTCGCACTGTATATGAGCATACATGACAAATTGATGCATCTATTTGTGCATTTTGCGTATTGTTAAACTAAAGTAAAGTGGTATAAAAATAAGTTGCTGTACGATGGGTGAAATTTACTTCTTTTTGTCTTCCTTCACAAAGCTGTACTGTACTTAATGTGTTCTTTGAGATAAAAAACAGAATCGTCAATATCATTTCGCATGACAAAGGCATGGAGAAAATTTACTTGATCTCAGTGAACTGAAAACGGCTACTTGAATCGACATGGACGAATCTTGAGCACCAGCGGTCGCGGCGCGGCGTGCAGGTGCCTGCCGCCTCCGGTGTCTCAGCGGCACGTCGCCCGGCGCACGGGGCACGTCGGTCGCAGGCGCAGCCACGCGTCGACGCAGCGCGCGTGGAACGCGTGCGCGCAGCTGGGGAGCGCCCGCGCCGTCTCGCCTTCCTCGACGGCGCCCAGGCACACCGCGCACTTCTCCGTCGCGGTCGCGGTGGCAGCCGCCCCGGCCCCGAGGCTCACGACGACGAAGCATGGCAGCCGCGCGATGGCGGCGTCGTCGAGGCCTGATGATGAGGCGCCGTCGCTCCGTGCCGCCGGCGGGATGAGGTCGGCGGCGGCGCTCAGTGTGGCGAGCCGGTGGTTGGCGTAGAGGACCGCAGCGTACCGCAGGAGGAGGAGGAAGGCGGAGAGCGCGGCGAGCTCGAGGACCACGCTGACGCGGTCGTACTCGCAGACGACGGCGACGGCCGCCGTTCCCGCGCTGACGATGTCCGATCCGGTGGCCGCCGGCATTGAGCGCGGATGGACGGACGGAGAGGCGGCGTGGACTTTCACTAGCAACAAGGAGCCGCTAATAATGCTACAGAGATACGGAGTACTACGCACATGCTGGCACGGGTAGTTATCGACTAGGATACCCCGGTACTTCACGCAACCGCCGTACCGGTAACGCGATACGATCCGATGCTCCAATAAGCAGCCGATACCGTATAAAGTATCGGAAAATCGAGCCGAAGATATTAATAAAATTAATCAGGATACTTTGTTGATACATCTCGATACACCTCCGATACTCCCAAGTCCCACACATAGTGTCCAATCACGATATTTTGTTTTCTATATATTACTATTAAATATACATTATACATATGTATACTAGTAATATCGAATGAAAAAATAAAGTATCCATGTATCATCGTATCCGTATCCCGTATCGGTGCAATGTGTGTCTCGTGCTCCGGATTCGCGAAGGCGCACACAAGTCGGTGCAGTGGATTGAGAGTCCAAAATTATCACCATGGCTGCTGTTTTTTGCGGGGCGCGTGGGTTGTCCCAGACTCCGACGGCCTGTTCGGGAGGCCGTATCGTATCGTGGATTATTTACTGCTGGCTGGTTTGGTGTGAGAGAAAAATACTGTTCCCGACTGGAAATTTACGATCGTTTACGAGCAAGCGAACAGGCTGCGAGTTCGGCAAGCGGCGCGGCAGTGGGTTTTTTTGGACTCTGTTCTAAGCACAATGGTCCGCGTCCCGCCCGCGGTAATAAAGTAAGCCCTTTTTAGTTGGGTGAATTTGGATTTTGGGGCTATTGTAGCACGTTCGTTTTTATTTGGCAAATAGTGTTTAAATATGGACTAATTAGGCTCAAAACGTTCGTATCGCAATTTCCCACCAAACTGTGCAATTAGTTTTTATTTTCGTCTACATTTAATGCTCTATGCACGAGCCGCAAACATTCGATGTGATAGTTACTTTAGCAACTTTTTAAACTTTAGCGTCCAGCTAAACAAGCCGTAAGTAAACGCGGTCGCCGGTCGGCGGACTGCCACTTGCTCTTTGTTTTATCATCATCCATTCCCCAGCGGCATCCATTTGCTTTGCACGATGTTTCGGCGCAACAAACATTCGCAGGGATATACTAGGACGAAGCGAAGAACTCGGGGTGCCAGCAATATTAGGAGACACCAGAGGAGGGCCTTCTGGAGCCGCGTACATCGGAGCCCAGCAGCTCAGTCCGGCACAAGAGAATGACAGTGCGTATTAGCGTGTGAGTTTCTGCTGCCTGCGAGCAGAAGAGTTCAGTAGTGACCATTAGGGAAGATTTAGATTAACAGAGAATACAAATCGAAACAAAATGGGAATCCATGGAGCGAGAATGACAACTCAAGATAGCAGTTCAAGGATCTTTTCATTACCAAAGTGTACAGATTCCTCAAGCAGACCAAAGAGTTGTTTGTCCAGAGCAACATCGTCTAATAAGCAACACACTGCCACACCATCTAGGATCTGAGCCAGCTCTGCATGTGTCACGGTCAACCAGCAACATCTGAACCAAGAAACTGTACCAGTTGAGTCTCAAACAACCTGAAAAGGAATTACAGAATGAAGGTTAACACAAACACGAGCTGAAAACCAGCGCACACAGGGGTTGCAGGATGGAAGCACGGCGTAAATTTTGAATCTGAATGCAAGAAATGGAATTCTTAGGATAGATATCATCGATGATTTGTTAGAACAGACGAGAGATGCAGCTGACATGTGTATAATAATAACACAAACACTTCCTAAAACACACAAGGTTGGATTGCAAGAAAACAATATGCCATATATATTTACTAATGCTGGGAAAGATAATTTTCTACTGCCTGTTATCTAAACCGTTAGATAGTTCAACAGTACACATTGGTGCATCAAAATAGGTGCAATCTTCTTGAATTGCTGGCAGCTGAATATTACCTTGGATTAGCCTGTGGTATTCTTTATCTACATCTTGATGTTGAAGTAGTCGGAATCAAAATGATGCAGCCTTACATATCCATCTTCACCACCACTCGAAAAGCTAATAAGATTAAAGAAAGAACATGGACAGAATTAGAAAAACCTTTTTTACTAAAAAAAAGCAACTTCAGAACATAAGAGAAAAGTATCTACAGCACATGTTGATAGTGTACAATGGTAGCTCTCATGAATCATTTTTTTTTTCAACAGCGGCAACCAGAATAGCATATATAACCAATGTGTCTGGTTGAAGTCATTGAGCTATCAGATCCCAAAGATGCATACAATAATAAAAAAGATTTTTTTTAAAAGGCCAGATTAATGGTAAAGCTACTGTGGGCAGAATGTAGCTCTCATACTCAAAATGTTCATCGAACTGAGGTCAGCATAGCATATATTGCCAATGTTGGCTACAACCAGTCTGAGCTACATGTAAACGTAGCATGGCTGAAGAGGAGAGATTCAGCCATATAAAAGGTAAAAATAAATAGCTTCAGAAATCAATGAAGACCAGATATGTCGTAGACATATGAAAAAGATAAAATAATGTTTACATAAAGAAAAGTGTCAATGTAGATAAAATATTTCAGATTAATTAACTTAAAAGAAAAGTGGGATAAAATGGAGAATCAGGACTGGTCGTTACATTGCTCCACAAATGAGCTAGAAAAAGAGATTTTTCAGAGAGTAAATTTGCAAAAGATAAATCAATATGAAAACCTAATGAAAATTACACATAGCAAATAAAATCCTGCTCTCAGAAAGCTTATGGCATCCTTGTGTGGCTCAGAATAGCGTATATTACCATGATTTACCATGGTAGAATCATTGAGCATATACAACAACAAAAAAACACGAAATATGGGCATAACCTTATACAATGGACAGTGGACAAATGTTGATAGTAACAACAATGACTAGATAAGAAAAGCACTGTCAGAAAAAAAATATTACCTTCGCCCATCAGGATTAAATGCTAAAGCATTAAGTGGCCCAAAATGTCCTTTAACACCACCAATTTCCTCTTGCAAAATCTAAAAGAGAGCAAGTTTTAATCAGAACAGTTCAAATATTGTAAGCATACAAAGTTTGGCTAGGAAGCAACACAAAAGGAGTAATACCTCGATACTTTATTAACTGGAAAAGAACTTACCTTGTGATAGAATTTAGCCTCAAATTTACCAGCACGGCGGTCTGTCATAGTCACATTCATTGCATCCTGACCACCTCCTAGAACTACCTAAAAACAGAAACGAAAATCTTAGGAAAATGGAACACAGATGATGGTACCACTGAGCTAAGAATCACATGTAGACCATAAACACAATGCATTCATCTACAGCTCAAAAAAATCAAACATGATAAATAGTGTTCTAGTGTAAATACAAAAAGAAGCGCAACAGCTAACAAAATGCATAAGCCATAGGTCAATAGCTTAAATGTGATAAAATACTTTTCTCCTAGTGTACACAGCAAAATATGCAATGGCTGACAGAGTGACAGCACAGTTACATATATACAAAATCACGACCTATGATTATTACATAAAAATGCACTAAATTGGACAAAGAGCCACTTTGCAATACCAGATATATGAAGATCCGCTATACCGATTATGAAACCCAATTGGCAAACAAATTAGCTCAGCAGTGCACACAACCTGGGCATTTAGACAGACCCCATGCTACTTCACGAATCACAGATTCAACACAAAGCTCGTGACAATGTATGAATATTACACAGGTCGACAGGCATTTTATGCTTTTCAGCTTTTGCCGTGTGGCAGGGGAAAGTGGAATAGAAAAGATGTGTATAAATAAGTTTGTGAAGAGGAACATACTGTATCATGTGTAGGAGAGATGTCAACAGCATTAACAGGTCTCTCTGTGACATACGTCGTGATCAGGGTTAGCGTTCTTGTATCCCATAGCTAGGCATGGAAAATTGAATGTCAGGGAAACTACAAATATCTTCATGACAGTCAACCTGAACAAATTCTAACCTTAGAAGATTTATCCAAGGAGCTAGTAATGAAATGTGACCAATCTGAGGATTTTGACAATGATGAAATAGTCTTCTGATGTCCAGATTCTTTATCGACTCTTTCAGCAGTTGTCCAGTCTACATACAACTCAAAGAGGATCCCACGAGTGATGTGAAAAAACAGTCTCCATATTATGGAGAAACAATTAGCATTTTTACAAAGGTAAAATGACAAAGAAAGAGCAAACATGGATATTATATAAAAGCATAGTAGGTTTGATCTTGAATCCCACACCCACTTTCAGTTTCCTCATTTCCTCCCTTGAGTAAATGGTGCATTACATAAATCATCATGGCCTCGTTGGATGCGATTTTTAACTTTTGCCATCCTTACGGATGGCACTCCTCCGTTACTGCTTTTATGTGCACTTCTACATAATTGCCATCACAAACAGTGAAACTCATACGCTTTTGGCACTTTCGATGTGGCACACCAGTGGGCATGCCAAGTGTGAAATGAGCCTAGAAGCCCTCACTTAGCACGGAAATGACCTATTTACCCATGCTTTATTCTCCCTCTACTCTCTCGCGCGTGTGGGCCCCACATGTCGGCTTCATCCTCAACCTCCAGTCATCACCACGCAGTGAGGGGAGGGGAGGAGCTCGTGAAAACTGCATGCCGCCGATCGGCCAGCTCGAGGTGCTTCGATTCGATCCATGTTAATCTCGCCCTCCCATCTTATCTTGAGACAATGGCAACCAATAACTTGCGGGTTCGCGCAGCCCGCAGCACGGCGGCCGGGCATGCATGAGCGGTGGCTACCGTCTCGACGCGCGCGCGCGAGCTGGCCCGGGAGTGAGTTGGCCGTGTCAGACCCGGCCGACGTACACCGACCTGACCGAAGCAGCTAGCCCAACCACCGGCTGTTAGATCGGCTACCCAAACGATGCCAATGCAAACAAGCAGCTAGACAGCTAGCTCGTCCGATCCCTGGCTTGCCGCAGCGCACCTGCATATTCTTCGAGGTTCGACTCGCGCGGCGCACCGCTGGCTGGCTGCCCGTCTATAAAAGGAGGCACCGCAGCACCGTCCGGCCCATATCTATCACTTCGATCCATCGCTTCTTCCACAACACGAACATGTACGTACGTAGCTAGCTAGCTCGCAGAATATCTATCGCCAAATAAACCAGAGAGTAGTAGTGCTAGCAGGACGATCGCTAGCCCCACCGAGACGACCATGATGAAGCAGCAGGTTGCCAAGCTAGCAGGCGTGGTGGCGTTGCTGGCACTGCTAGCTCTGCTGGAGCCGGCCGTCGCCGCCGGTGTCAAGTTCACCACCGATGACCTCAACTCCGAGGCGTCGCTATGGGGGCTTTACCAGCCGTGGGGTGCGCGCTACAATGTAGAACGCGACCTCGTGGAGAAGCTCCGCCGATTCGACACGTTCAAGGAGACGGCCACGTCGCCTCTCGTGCTGGAGTTGCAGGCCACGCTCCGGGTCTGAACGCCTTCGCCGACTTGAGATCGCTTGAGTCGTAGGCTCAGGCGCACTCCAGGCCAGGCTGCGGAGGCATAGGAGGCCAGGCTACGGCCAGGACTCCGCACGAGCTCCTCCCCTCCCTTCGCTGCGTGGTGATGATCGGAGGTTGAAGATGAAGCTGACATATGGGACCCACACGTCACAGAGTAGAGGGAGAGAAGTACCATGGGTAAATAGGTTATTTCCCATGCCAAGTTAGGACTCCCAGCCTCGCTCTCACGCTGGCATGTCCACTCGGCGTGCCACATCAGTGAAAGTGGTAAAAGCGTAGGAGATTCACTGTTTACGATGGCAATTGTGTGAAAGCACGTACAAAACTAGCAAACGAAGGAGTGTCATCCGTAAGAATAGCAAAAAGTTAAAAAATCCCTCGTTGGATAGACTATAGTTACACTGGAAGCAGTAATCAGTAAGGATGTGTCCAGTTCCGCAGATACTAGTACTACTACCATATTAGTTGGTTGTTGTCTCAGTTCACTAAGCTGATAAAAGTAAGGTGAAATTTGGCATTATAAACTTCTACGGATACAGCTAAACATATTAACTAACCGATTGTGACTGAACAGGGCCCCCCAAAAAAACATTGCATATTATATAGGCTCCGTTTAGATTCCAAAATTTTTTGCATAGTATCCGTCACATCGAATCTTACGGTACATGCATGGAGTACTAAATGTAAACGAAAAAAAACTAATTGCACAGTTGGGTGAGAAATCGCGAGACGAAACTTTTAAACCTAATTAGTCCATAATTAGGCACTAATTATCAAATACAAACGAAAGTACTACAGTAGCCAAAATCCAAAAAAAAATAGATCTAAACAGGGCCATAGTAAAGGAGAATTTGATCCTCACCAATCCCCACCAGATGCCCCCGTACCAACAAGCAACTGATGTGGGCATTCTTTGGGCTAGATACCCAAATTATAATATAGCGGCCATCAGTAAGGGGTGTTTGGTTCTCCACTACTAAAATTTAGTCTTTATTATATTAAATATTTGACATATGTACGAAGTATTAAACGTAGATTAATTACAAAACTAATTGCATAGATTGAGACTAATTTACGAGATGAATTTATTAAGCCTAATTAGGCTCATGTTCAGTCTTTCTAATTAGTATCCAAATGGCAAAATAGCTTGTTGAATTAAATCATTTGAACTATCGTCAATCTAAAAAAATCTCAATTTAATTGAACTTCGTCCCTCAACTATAAAAACATCCGATTCAGGTCCTTGAACTATCGTGTTGGACTCAATTTAACTGATTAATATATCCCTCAACTATAAAAGCGTCCGATTCAAATTAAAAAACTTAAAACTAGAACTATAAATGCTTTGAGCTCAATTTCAAATTTAACACGATTGTTTTTTATTTTAAATCTAATGATTCAATTAAAAAACTCAAAACTATAAAGTTGTAGATCTCGCATCTTAAAGACCTCATATAAAAATCATCTTCATCCAAGATCGTTGTAAAAAGATATAAAATCTCACCGGCCACTTTCATATATGCAGTATCTCCATTTGAGCGCCATATAGGAGACGGGCGCGATTTTTCCAGGTGATAAACTTGAAAAATGTATTTTTTTAAAACATTTTGATGAAGATGATTTTATATGAAAATTGTAGCAAATTAAAAGATCTACAACTTTATAGTTTTGAGTTTTTAATTTGAGATCATTAACATGCTCAAAAAATTAAATAATATTTTAACAAAGATACTAATCCTCACATAAGTGCTTATCGTGATTGGAAAAATCTTATCTCTCATATATGGGGTCAAATGGAGATAATGTTTTTTATATGAAAATTGTAGTTCTCAATGAGATCTACAACGCTAGTAGTTTTGAGTTTTTTAATTTGAGGTCTTTAAGATGCTCGTAAAAAACAAACCAAATTTAAGCAAAGATATTAACCAAAGTTAGATTTAAAAATAAAAAGCAACGTTTAAATTTGAAATTGAGCCCAAAGACGATAGTTCAGTGGACCTAATCGACGCTTTTTATAGTTGAGGGATCTAAATTGAGCTCAAAGACGATAGTTCGTGTGGACCTAATCGATGTTTTTATAGTTGAGGGACGCAATTGAGCCCAGCACGATAGTTCAGGGACTGAATCGGACGTTTTTACAGTTGAGGGACGAAATTAAGCCCAGCACGATAGTTCAGGGTCGATTTCGGCTATTTTGCCTATCCAAATCTAAACTAAACAAAATGTGCAGGCATGCAACAGCATGCTATCCTAACCTCGGAGTCCCAGATGCGAATGGTGGCGTCCTCCCCGGCAGTGATGATGGTCCTGTTCAGTGGCCCCCAAACGGCCCTGTTTATCCTCCCCTTGATGCCGGTGATGACGAGTGCAGACTCGTCCGGCTCTGTATCCACCGACACATAACTTTGCTTAAAAACTCCATTGATACACAGGATCTCAAGGGTGCTGGCTTGTGCCATTCAAACAAAACAACAGAGGAGGGCAAAAATGAAGCGTTGAGAAGGCAAAGCACTAGCGGTCGTCGATGTCCTCGGCGATGTGCTTGACCTGGACGGTGGGGACGTGGTCCATGAAGTTGTCGGTGGTGATGACGGCGAGCGCGTCCCCGATGGCGAACTCGACGGACCTGGCGGGCGCGTCGAAGCGGAAGCTGAAGAGCTCCTTCCCCGTGCTGACCTCCCAGAGCTTGGCGGTCTGGTCGGCGGATGCGGTGATGAGGCGCGCCGAGTCGCGGGAGGCGTCGCAGGTCCAGACGGCGCCGTTGTGGCCTCGGTAGGTGCCGAGGCGGTCGCCATTGTCGGCGTACCAGACCGTGGGGGTGTGGTCCTTGGCGCAGGAGAAGAGGAGATCCCCGTCGCGGTTGTAGCGCAGGAACGTCAGCGGGCGCTCGTGGCCCTTCATCAGGATCGGCCTCATCGTGGCGCGCTGCTGCTGGTGGTGCTCACCACCGCCGGAAAGGGAGGAGGAGCAGGGGCGGATCTGGTGGTGGTGGTGCTCACCGCTGCTGGTAATCGGCGAAGGCCTCGGCACCTGGTGAAGTGGTGAATGGTGAGTGGTGACTGGCGTAGGTGCGTAGCTGTACGGCGATGGCGGCGGTAGCCCAGAGAGAGGCAGAGCACGGCGGCTGGCACAGGGAGGAGAGGCAGAGACAGATGGGCCTTTAACGGGCCTTCTCCTTCCAAGCTGAGACTTGCCTGTGCGGCTGTGCCTTAGGATGCAAGCGGGCGTATCCGTCTGCTGCCACTAGAAAATTTGCACTGACTTGGCCCATTAAAGGAGGAAGAAGGAAAGGGGAGAGAGAAGCGTCGGCTGTCCATTCCAAGAGGGGGTGCGGGCCGAGCCCGTGGGGAAGAAGAGGAGTGAGCAGTTGGGCCGCAAGCTGGACAAGGAGGGTACGTTACCTTCTCAAAACAAAAACAAAAAAATAGGCACGTTAAAAGATTAATTAGGTCCAAGCTGTGATAGGAGAGGGAGAGAGGATCTGACATTTGTTTGAAGCTATTGTATTCAAATTCAAACTTAATAAAAGCCTTGTTGGATTGAATTTGATTAAAAAGATCATAGGAATTTTACCAAATATATTTGGTGCGAAGAATAATTGGATAACTAATTTTTTAGTCTTATTTCTTTGTCGCCTTTGTTATAATATATATGCACAAGGATATTTTAAATGCATCAACATGCGAGAAAAAATCATTAAAAAGCAGGAGGCATTTCCATAAGAGAGGACATTTTCATATATGTGATTTATTTTGCATTGTTACACATATGACATAGAAAAAAATGTGCCAAATATTAATCCATTACTATTACTAATCATCTAACTACCGTGTAGTGATAATTCTATATTTGCTATAACAATTAAACAATTATGACAAACAAAGTCACCATAGTTATAAAACGAAGTAGGTTATGATGATTTCGGATCGTGATCAATAACAAGCGATACATTCTCATCAATAAGCTGAACCAACTCTTGGAAAACATCACAAACAGAGTGATTCAGTGACAAATAGCTTGCATAGGAGCCCTAATTTCTTGTAGACTATGCTACTGTGAAGACCGGATGGTCCATCGGTCAGGTTTCAGATCATTAAAAAAATTAGTATCTTTTTTATATAAATTTGATCAAATTTCAAATCATTTGATTTAATATTACTATAGGGTTTGCATATTTTTGAGACGGAGAGAGAGTAGTGGCGTAAACCATAATCCTCGCCTAATAATTCCTCTGTGCGTTTGTGTTCATGTTTGCCAGGGAGAATTGTAGCGACAGGCAGACAGTACATGTTTACGACGTCGTTCTGGCCAAGACATCACAAGAAACACGCCCGATCAAAATTTATAGTTCGGCTTACCTTATAATCCGCACTATTGAGCTTGTTTTTTCAGCCGGAACAATATTTTTCTCTCACAACAATTCAGTCAGAACAGTGTTTTCAGTCAATTCAGGCAAGTTTCAGCAAGCCGAACAGGGTCTAACATGTACCAGATTTGTAAACGCCCGATCGAGATTGCAGCGCACGTTTCTCGATTTTTTTTTTTGTAAACGATCATAGCAATCGAGAAGTACCAGATTTAATCCACTCTTTTTTTTGCGATTGATTTAATCCACTCGTTGTTCACAAGTAATACAGAATTTTAGATGGACACGTAATATAGATAGCAGAGAATGGTCAAAATGTAGCAAAAAATTCAAGAGCGACGACCTACAGCTGTTGCTATCTTAGATTCTTGACCAACACGCAAGAAGCTTCTACCACTGCGATTGGCCATTGTTATACACAAGGCGTTGGCAGGACGCTGTCAAGTCAAGCCAAGCCGCCACCGGCCTCCGGCCTCCGGCCGCGTCGTCCACGGTGCCCTCTCAGCCTCTCGAGCCTCGCGGCGTGGACGACGAGGCACGCTCCTCGTCGCCGAACATATCGACTGCCGCGACGCGCGCCGGCGTGGAAGCTGCGGCGGCCCTGTCCTCGGCCCGTGCCGGCGCCGGCGGCTCGGCCTTGCCGCGGCAGACCGGGCACGACGCGCGCGACGCGAGCCACACGTCGATGCACTCCTGGTGGAACACGTGCTTGCAGCCGGGGAGCTGCCTCACCATCTGTCCCTCGTCCAGGACGCCGAGGCAGACCGCGCACTCAGCGGCGGCGGCCGGCACTGAGGTCGAGCCCTCAGCCTCGGCGTCGGCTTGCCGCTGGTACGGGAAGGGCGGGATCAGGGCGATGGCCGCGGCGTCGAGGCCGGGCTTGGACCGATGATGCTGCTCCTGCAGGAGCCTTCTCGCTCGGTGGTGCCAGCGCTGGCGAAGCAGGAGGAAGCGCACGAAGAGGAAGGCGACGACGAGGATGAAGCAGCAGACGAATGACGTGGCGGCTACGGCCACCAGCGTCGTCGCTTTGCAGCACCGGGTGCCGCCGCCGGCTCCCGGCGAGGCCGTGCCGTTGGAGGACATGGTCGCGGTGGTCACGGAGTATAGGAGGATTCGTAAGCCGCGAGCAAATTATTTGGCTATTTTAGCAAAGGTGGTTTAACCCCACCCCCTGTCTACTGAATAATCGGTTGTTTTATAGTTTTCTGGCACTCGGTTGTTGGAAGGCCAAAAAAAACACCCGAATTCTACAACTAAGCCAAACTGGGTGCTAAAGACAAAGAAAACACACGATTTACAGATCCTTATATCAGAATCCAATGGTCACAATAATCACAATCCAATTCTACAAATCTGAAGTATTAAATAGAAGAAAATGTATATCAAAATAGCTCATATGAACTATCTCACAATCAAATAAACAGAATTTACATCTCAAATGACCGAAATTTACAGTTACGCAGTCGGTATAAATTCAAAAACAAGCCAATGTAATTGCAAGCATATGGTACACTAATACAAAGGACTAAGATCTATTGCCATAATTGCACAGAGACTATAATCGATGTAAAAGAGCTCACCATTAAAATACGTAACAAACGACAAATTGTACAAAAAAAAAAACTACATTTCCAAATGTTTTCTATGAATTCTAGAACTCGAGAAAATTACTGCAAATTGATCACAAATATAACAAATTTTCACAACATCTTTTCTAAATAAATTCATATCAATAAAACGCACATTGGCACTAATATATAGAAGCAAAAAATTTGGACACACGAAATTATACTAGTACAATAAAATTGAGAACACTAAAATGATAAACTGATTTCTTCTATTGTCTCGCCTAGTAGATTTACGAGTCTAAGAACTAACTACATGATACACTACAATGGTAAGATCACCCCAAACTACTCCAAAATGCCACTTTGAACTAAGACGTAACAACAACAAAGCCAAACTTAAAACGAAAATGATGCAACATGCACTTGCTCGAAGCACAATGCCTCTTACTAAGCAAATGGCTAAAGAGTAAGACCAGCTTGCTCATACAAACCATATGAACATGAACTATCGCCCACCTTAAAAACCCCAAATGCTTGAACTCACTAAGCTGAAAACGGGTAGAAGAGAATGATAGAATTGCAATTTCTTCAAAGACCAAAACCGACAAGAGAAATCGAAACAACCTACAACTAATGCCAAAGGTAAGTCATCAAACCTGATAACTACACTGCGCAGGCATCAAGAATCTAACAACGCGACAAGTACACCAACAAAAACAGCTAATCCTACAAAAATGAAACTCCACATCAATACCAAATCCTCGCTTCAACCCTAGACACAAAGAAGGCAAAAAGCAAAGGAAACAAAGGAGCAAACTGGCAAACTGATGGAATCACCTCTCAAAGAAGGTAAAGCGACACGGGCAAGAAAACGATGAGGAAATGTAATGACCACGAAAAACAAAGCGCGACCGCCAATTTTAAACAAAGAGAACTTTATATTTCCTTCCACGCTTCTTCCCCTTCCAGTGGCAAAGAACAAGACAGACAATACAAGTCATGGTGCCAAACACACTAAGAAAAATGAAAACATATTACAAATTACAAAACAGTAATGAAAAATTGCGCATTTCAACTAGTGCAATTTCTAGTATTGAAAAATACAATATCAAATCTTGTAAGTTTACTTGCAAAATCAGATCCTTCGGAAGTAAATAGGGCGGCATTTGTCCATCTAATACAAACCTGATAGTAGCTGGCACCTGAAATTATCAACAAAACAGATCAAAACATTGTATTCTTTTTCTGGAGTTGACTCAAGCGTAACCACAGTATATGACAATGTGATAAGATCATGCACAAAACAGAAAAACTGAGACGATAGAGCTATTTTGCATAAATTCCACCGCAAACAGATCACATGATAAGCCCCATCTTACAATAGATGCATAAATAGTGATGAGAGGATAGAGCTCTGACTGTCCACTGACTAGCTGCTGCTAGGGCAGGGAGACAGAGAGAGACTGAGAGAGAGTGTGTGGGTGGGTGGGGAGGAAGAGAGCCAGCCAGAGGTCCAAGTCTAGGCCAACAGTGGCCTGACCCACACACGAGAGAGAATATTTGAAGGGAGGAGGAGCTGAGTTTGTGGGGTCTGTGTTGCCACAAATCATAATTTTTCAACATCATATATATGGTTCATTGTTTAGAGAAATGTGCATATAGAAAAGCCTCAACTAGAAAAGCCCACTGGTGCATAATCAAACACCATCTATATGTTCTATGGTGCCATTGAGGCCTATATCTCAAGGCGTACCATAGCACACAAGATGAGGAAAAACATATTAGGTTTTTCCTGTTATGCCCTAAAAATCTAGAAATGCTTCCTAAATTTTCTGATATATAGTAAGGTAAAATTGCATTCTATACTCAAATCAGCTTCATCTAGAACTACACCAGAGGCCCCAAACTACGTAAAAGATTGAGCATGGTATGGAGTTGTTCTATATCGTGTTCTTCAACACCTTGGGCATGCAAGCGATTTATCACATCACTGACATAGTACTGGCATGCAAGGAAGCACAACTCCACTCTATCTCCACCATCCATCTTATGATTGTTTCATCCAAGGGCTGAGGTGAAGAGGCACATGGATCGCTGACATGGCACATTGAGAGGTCTGTTGTTTCCTCCTCTCAACCTATAAATAACCACTCACTCCCTCTCATTCACACACCCAACAAGAAAGAAGAACACTCCTCAGCATTTTCTTTCGTTGCAGTAGCAATGTCTGGAGGGTCGTCTAGAGGGAGAGGAAAGAGGAAGGGAACTACCTAGGGGTGGGAGGGTCCACTTGGTCCCGAATTTTTTGAGGAAGCTCTTTATTAGAGGTTCCCAGTTGAGAGCAAAAGTGATTTCACCAAAGAGACACCACTTAGAGGATACGATGAAAGGAAAGAAGAGTGGCCAAAATGCATGCATGGTGAGGACTGCCTAGTGCAGATGTTCACCGAGGGAATAGATAGAGGATGTCGTTTCTTCAAATGTCCACGAGCATGGGTAATTGCTATTACTATTTGTTTCTTCAATATGTTTCTCTTGTATATAACTTACACGACATACTTATTGTAGTCTTCCTAGGCCGAAGAAAATTATGGGTACAGTAGGTGGGTCGATCCTCGATCTATTTATCCGCATGCGGAGTACATCTACTACCTACAGGACCGTATCTTCGATCAAGAAAGGGAAGTTAGCAGTGATTACAAGGACGGCGGACAGGACGACAACAACAATGGTGCCGATTCACATGAGGCACTCTGCAATGATCCATATTACACCTGCCCTAACCACAAGAAAAAGGGGCCTCCCCCGTCACCCCCGCCACCACCAACAACAACAACGGGAGGCTACTATGGAGAAGGTGCAATATAATTTGCTATGTGGCCACACTACTAGGATGACTTTATCTTTTTCACATACCACATCTATGTGTTTGTTGTTTGGTTTAATTACCTAAGACATGTTAGGTTTAGTCGAAGAAAACTCTGTAGTCACATGCCAGTTCATGTATTCTCAGGGTTTATCACAACTCGATCTCCGCAATCGCACAGAGGAGGTTCCTCGAGTCGTCTAACTGCGGCTAGGTGCTTCTCCTTAGCCGTCATTGGTGGAGGGTTAGGGGGCGGGTGGAACCCACCGCTTGAAGCGCTCACGTGGATTCCTCCCTCTAAACCAATCGTCGAAAAGGAGGTACCTAGGATCAAACTTGTCTGCACCGTCGATCCACTGAAAGAAAAAGCACCTCTCATGGTCCTACACAACGAGATTCGAACAAAATATTAGTAGCATACTTACACAAATAAAGAAAAAGAATAGTAGAAACAATTACTTACATTAAAATAACTACATGTGTAGAAGCAACGAGCCGCTGTGTCCGGATGTCTCGATTGAAACACGTCGGCCGGACGACCACAGTCACAGTTAGGGACAGGGAGGTCAAGAGGAACGGGGGCATCTTTGCTAGACGCGTCGGGGTATAATTCTCGAGGACGACCCCGTTTTCGCCAAAACTCCTCCCGAAACATTTCTTCCATCTAACAAAATGGATGTAATTAAACAAACGTTTCCAAGGTCCATAACTACAATATCAATAGGAACCATAACTACAATACAACTAATTTCGTTATAAGAACCGAAAGCAGTTAACATTAAACCCTAAAACTAGGGTTTCCCATTTAATGCACAATAATGAACCCATAAAATAACTACATGCGTCTACATTTGCTAGCTTTTCCACGTCTTGACATCGTACTATGGTTGTATAATACATATATTGAGGGATAGAATGAAACCCTAAGCAATGACGATTATTACATTCAAAACTCCGACTAATATATACCGAATCGATGCGAAAAAAAACTAGGAGGGAAACGAGAATACCTTGCTCTCGAAGATCTACGGATCAAATCAAGGTTTTCAAGGTCCAATATGCTGATTCGTGAGGTAGGGTGAAGTGGGGAGAGAAAAAACCCGAAAGGGAGGAGAATGAAGAGGAAGAACACTCGCGCAGAGAGGATGGGCCGAGGTTAAATGCAGGGAGCTCGGCGCCAGTCCCTGACAGTTTACGGCCCGTGCCCAGGAAATCGGAGCCAGTTGATGGCGCCGAGCTAAGAGTCCATTTTCTGAATTCTTTCCGTCAAGGGTCTATTTGTGGGAAACTTTTGAAAAAAAAATGCTAAATTATAAAAAATTCGGATCCCAGGCTGCCCCCGCATGTTTCCTGCCTTTTCCTTCACGTTCAGAATCGAAGGCCCTTCTTTTCTTTTGCCCTGGTAGACTAGAAAAACAATGGGTTTTGTGGGGGCACGGCCCCCAGTTTCTGAAGCAGCCACTAGGCCACTACGAGCAGTGACTCTGACTCAGTGAGGTTGGTTGGAGTTGGAGTGCGGCGGGCAGCGAGAGCTTTCCTCTCGTCTTTTGCTGTTGGATCACGTCACAATCAGGAACCGCACAACATTGGTGCCATTTGACGGCCAAGGGCTAAAAGAAGCTCAGCTGTCCTGTCCAGTCCCCAAGGGC